ATATTTATCGGCATGATATAAAATATTTTAGTTTTATTATGTTAATTAAAGATCAGATTCTAACTTTTTTGAAAAAATAAAGTTAAATTATGTTTTAATATTATTTTAAGACCGGTCGACTATTGGATCCGTCAGAAGCCCTTTACTCAGTCAAAAATTCATTCGGTCATTTATTAGACTCTCTGATTTTATCACAATCTAATTAATGGCCGTATATTTATAATACTAACTTCTTAACATCAAAATTAAATTTGTCAAGTGTTTAAAGTACTTTAGTCATTCAATATTTTGTAAATATAAGAATAATCATTATAAAATGTATATTTACAATTAAAATAATACTTAAAATTTTTTTTGATTATTAAATTTTATTTTGTTGTAATTTTTTTAGTGAATGGTTATATCAAAGAACGAATTATTAAAAGAAAAAATTGTTAAGCAATTAAAAAAATAAAAAAGAGTTACAAGTTAGTAAAAAAGCTTTAATTGAAAAAAGGAAGGAGAAGAATAAAAAAATTTCAAGTTAATCAGAAGGATTATCGTCATTAAAATGAATTTGTGATTATTTGTGACCTAAAGAAATTTGACTTTATGTTAATTATTGCTATTGTTTATATTATTTTATAAAAAAGTACGGTTTAAAATTATATTGTATGTTTAGTTTTGTTAAAGATGTGGTTAATACTTCAAAAGTACTGCATATATTTAATTATATACATGTAGTTTACAAAATTACTTATATAATTATTTGAGCGGTGAATTAATTGGAGAACGGTCGGTCATTTATTGGGTTTCTTCGGTCAGTAATTGGTGATTTTAGTATTTCAAGATTCAAATAACAAAACTGATATAATTTTGTTAATTTTTATTATAAATAGTTATTAATTATTATTAATTAAGTATTTAACTTTAATAAAATTCATTACAAATTGTTTTTAGTAGGTTAATAAATTTTTTATAGCTTAGTACAGAAAAAGAAAACCTTAATCGGTCAATAATTGGTGCATTTACCCTACATTTTTACATTTTGCATCATTTTTACTAATCGTTATTTAATATTGTCTTTTTTAATGATCGTCTCATTTTATAAACGGTATCATTTTCAGTTTTAAAAATTTTTAGTTTACAAACGTTCCAGTTTACAAACGGCTATTTTCTAGTAAATTTTAAAACATACTTAAATTAATTGTCGTCCACGATTGTAACTTTATAATATTATCCATAACTATTCAAAAATTTTTTTAGATAGTTATATATAACTAGCAACCTTGCAGTTACTATGTAAAATAGTCTTAAATATTGACGTTTTTAAAGATATAAGCTCATCCTGATGTTATACTCATCAATAACTTTCATTTGAGTGCCCACATGCATTTTGATATATTTTTCATATATACATATATACAATATATATAAATATATGAAAAATTGATGTGGGTATTCAAATGAAAGGTCTCGACGAGTGTAACATCGGGATGAGCTTATATCTTTAAAAATGTCAGTAGTTGACAAAATACAAGGTCACTTCTTAAATATTGACCTTTTTAAAGATATAAGCTCATCCCGATGTTACACTCATCAAGAGCTTTCATTTGAGTACCCACATGCATTTTTGATATATTTTTCATATATACATATATATATAATATATAAATATATGAAAAATTGATGTGGGTACTCAAATCAAAGGTATCGATGAGTGTAACATCGAGGTGAGCTTACATCTTCAAAATTATCGTTAGTTAGCAAGATAGCAATGTCAGTTCTTAATTATTGACATCTTTAAATATATAAGCTCATCCCGATGTTACACTCATCAAGAGCTTTCATTTGAGTACCCACATGCATTTTGATATATTTTTCATATATACAAATATACAATATATATAAATATATAAAATATATGAAAAATTGATGTGGGTACTCAAAAGAAAGGTCTCGATGAGTGTAATGTCGGAGTGAGCTTATATCTTTAAAAATGTCAATATTCTACAAGATAAAAGGTCATTTCCTATTTATGCATCTAGAAATAGAGCATTTTTGAATGCAGCCTAATTACTTATTATAATAAATTAACTGTCGGTGAGAATGATATGAAACCTTGAAAAGGCATAAATTCAAAATCAAGACCCTTGCAATGACACTAAATTTCACTAAAAAAACCGATTTTTATCATATGACTATCTTGGACACTAAATTTTTCTTATTCTTTTAATTAATATAGATTACATGTGGTTATAATTCTTAAAATAAATTAATACCTAAAAAATTTTTTTATATAAAATTTTTCAGAAAATGGAATTCACATGTTCATGTGGTTCGGTTTGTCATTATCAACGGAATGGATCCAAGCTGTCTTTGGCAGCACGGTAGTCGACACCGATCGTACCTCGATACCAATATTAGACAACCCATTAAACAAGCGTATTAGAGATATCGTGAGTCGCGTCCGCGCGGAAAGATATCACTGTATGAGGGTATGTATCAAATTTTATTTTATTATTTATAAAAAAATACAAAAATATTTAATAATATAAATTTTATTGTTCACAGTTAACATTCGTGCGACAGAGGGACAAATTAGAAATGGTGTTACGTCATTTCTTAGTTGAAGATCGTACCAGCGACAGCAGCCCAAGTTACGTCGATTTTCTTTGTCATATGCACAAGGAAATAAAATCTCTATTAAATCAATCATAATGTTAATAATAATAACAATAAATAAATTAAACAATTATTAATAATTAAATTAAAAGTCAATAAGTTCCATTTTTTTTTTAGATTATTTTTATTTTTTTATATGAAATCAAATATCAAAATTAAAATAAAAATAATCATGATTTATTGGCTTTATTTTTAAATATGGACAAAATTAAATCTCAAATTTTGGTTAAATTGCAAGTAATATTTATAATTTCAATGATTTAATGGTTAAATGAAGTATGTTACTATTTAGTTTTTAATTTTTATTTTGTTATCATTTATTTGTAATGGTTTAAATGATTTATTGATATATATATGTATAATTTTAATGAGTAAACTAGGAAGAAATTTAAGGTCAATGTAAAAAAATTAATAAATAAATTTATATATCAAATTTTTTACTTCTTTTAAGAATAATTTTATCAAGAATCTTATTATTTTTTAAATGTAAAAAGAACGGTGTGATTTGACGTTGGTCAAAATTTGGTTCCATCGGTTCCAAATGTTCCTGGATCTCTAAGGGATTTTTTATGATGTAGTTATGGTATAAATTTGTTTTCTTTTAATGGATTTAAATAACGATAGATTTTGACGATGGTCAAAATTTGGTTCCATCGGTTCCAAATGTTCCTGGGTATTAATATTACTTTCTATGATGAAATTATCTCAAGAATTCGTTCTTTTATCATTGATGTGAAAAAAGCTCAATCCTTTGACAGTCAAAATTTGGTTCCAAATGTTCCTGGGTCCCTAGGTGATTTTTTATGATCCAATTATGTTATAAATTTGTTATTTTTTAATGAACTTAAAGAACGATAGATTTGAACGATGGTCAAATTTAGTTCCATCGGTTCCAAATGTTCCTAAGTACTTATATAGATTTTTACGATGAAATTATCTAAAAATTTGTTCTTTCCTTATGGGTAAGAACAGTGATGGATTTTGACGACAGTAAAAATTTGGTTCCATCAGTTCCAAATGTTCCTGGGCCTCTAGATGATTTTTTATGATGCAAATATGTTGTAAATTTGTTCTTTTTTCATAAATGCATTGAATGATCGGATTGGACGATGCTCAAAATTTGGTTCCATCAGTTCCAAATGTTCCTGAGTATTAATGTGACTTTATATGATAGAATTATTTCAAGAATTTGGTCTTTTTTCATGGATGTAAAAAAAGCTCAATTCTTTGACAGTCAAAATTTGGTTCCATCGGTTCCAAATGTTCCTGGGCCCCTAAAGTAATTTTTTATGATGTAATTATACTGTAAATTTGCTATTTTTCAATGGATTTAAAAAACGACAAATTTTGACGTAGGCCAAAATTTGGTTCCAGATGTTCCTGGGTACTAACGTGACTTTATATGATGAAATTATCTCAAAAATTTGTTTTTTTTATGGGTGAAAGGAACGATGAATTTTGACGATGGTCAAAATTTTGTTCCATCGGTTCCAAATGTTCCTGAGTATTTATATGACTTTTTACAATATAATTATCTTAAAAATTTGTTCTTCCTTTATGGGTAAGAACAATGTTGGATTTTGATGATAGCAAAAATTTTGTTCCATCGGTTCCAAGTGTTCCTGAGTACTTATATGACTTTTTACGATAAAATAATCTCAAAAAATTGTTCTTTTTTTGTGTATAAAAAGAACGATAAAATTTAACGATGGTCAAAATTTGGTTCCAGTGGTTCCTATAAGAAGTGGCGCCATCTAACGTCAAAATAGATGAACTTTTTTACAAATTACGAATGTTTTATGCTTTCTATAGCTTATTATACAATTATATAATTTTTTTTAAATCTTATTCAAATCTTCTCTAATAAAAAAGAAAGTTTTCAATGATTAATTAAAATGAATCCTCATAATAAAGTTTTCTCAGCATAACGTCAAAATAAAAAATGACTTTCATAGTAATAAATTCTAAATTACCAGCAATTCTACCCATAAATATTACTCGATAACGTCGTTAATTTCTAGAAAAAAATTTGATTACGCTGAATAATGTCGACAATTAACCCAATAATTCAATAATAATCACTAAACAATACTACCTCACAGGATGACTTTCACACTTTTTATTGAGACGTTTTAATAGATCCACATGCCAGTCCACATACTTTCTACCTCAATCGCAAGGTATTTTATCAGTCGCTAACTAAGTGTGTCATGAACATGTCGTGTGTTTATTCCGATAAAATATTTTTCCTGTAAATAACAAATTATTTAAAATACTAGAAAAGAAAAATAATTAAAAAAAATGGAAGTAGACGGGTGTGACCGTGAACTTGAACTAGACCAGGCGTGTGTAACCTTCAATGTTAGAAATAATTATTCTCTTTATTCTCTGACCTCCGACTGCAATTTGGTGAGTAAATTTTGATGATCAATTAATTATATTTTTTTTTAATAAAAAATTTTTCCAGTGTCCCTTTACTAAATTAACCCAGCTGGTACAATCAAACACAAGTTTCATCTTCAACAGCTTTAAAACCTGGAACTGGAGATTTTTTAATGGAACAGATTTAGATGACGTTCTTGGAACCGATGGAACAGAGTGAGTATTTTTAAAATTTCTAACAAATTTTTAATTTCAACTTATAATTTTCCACTTTTTAGGGGCTTGGTGTGCGAATTAAGGCCCGACTTGGGCCAATTTGGAGTGTATCAAGTCTTTCCGGAAAAATGCGAGCTCGAAATTACAAAACGACCGTCCAATCCTTACACACGTGAGTCAAAATTCTCTAAAAACTTATTTTACAACGATAGAATCCATCTGCGCATGTATTATACCTAGGAACAACTCCTGCGCATGCGCAGTCGCTTGGAACAGGTTATGCGCATGCAGCACCGCAGTTCCGAGTTATTTTAGCTGCAAGGTTGCTGAAATAAGTTCTGAATATGCGTAAGAATTTTTCTAGGGAAGATTTATGCTGCGCAGTACCTTGGAACAGATTTTGCGCATGCGCAGAAATGGTTCCAAGCGAATTAAGCTGCGCAAGTGCTTAAAATAGGTTCTGCAAACATGTAAGAATTATTCTGAGAGAGATTCATGCTGCGAAGAAGCTTGGAACAACTCCTGCGCCTGCGCAGACATTTGGAACAGGTTATGCGCATGCGCAACTGCAGTTCCGAGTGATTTTAGGTGCGCAGTTGCTTAGAACAAGTTCTGAACATGCGTAAGAATTTTTTTAGGGAATATTCATGCTGCGCAATACCTTGGAACAGATTTTGCGCATGCGCAGAAATGGTTCCAAGCGAATTAAGCTGCGCAGTTGCTTAAAACAGGTTCTGCAAACGCTTAAGAATTGTTCTGAGAAAGATTTATGCTGCGCAGAAGCTTGGAACAAGTTTTGCATATGCGCAGAAATGGTTCCGAGTGATTATAGCTGCGCAGTAATAGTTCTTGGTATATTTTGAGCTAGAAAAATTTATATCTAACATTTTTAAGATTGATGGTTCACATTTAACCGCAAAAAAACTTGCTATAAATTACTATGACCTCAATATTGACTTTCTCTTCTAAATTTCCAGCTCTCTTCATCATCTGTGGAGCTCTGGTACTATCACTGATGATCATCGCCCTTCTAAAGACAACTGTGACCTATTATCTGTCCAAGAAACGCTCGGCCATCAGCGAAGAACCACCTAAGCCCCTCACCAGACGAATTCAGTCCATTGACAGCTTTCGGGGGTAAGTTCCAAGTTCCAACCCAGCTTTTTGCACAACTATCTGATCTCTTGCTTTCAGATTGAGCATAGTGATGATGATTTTCGTCAACAACGGCGCTGGAGGGTACCCGGAACTTGGCCACGCGACCTGGAACGGGCTCTTAGTAGCCGACCTAATTTTCCCCTGCTTCATCTGGATCATGGGGGTCTGCATACCCTTGTCGCTCTCATCATCCCTGTCTCGAGACGTTCATCGGGTTAAACTGGTCCTGAGTATCTTGCAGCGAAGCTTCCTGCTGTTCCTTATCGGTGTGAGCTTAAACACTCTCGGAACCGATGCTGACCTGGCCACAATCAGAATCTTCGGAGTCCTGCAGCGGTTCGGAGTCGCATACCTGGTGGTCGGGTTGGTTTATACTTTGATGAGCCGCAGGCGAGACTTGACGTTCCAGCGAGGAATCTTTCAGTTCTTTACTGATTTTATTCTGCTGATTCCTCAGTGGATTTTTTACATCACGCTTCTAGTGGTTTACTTTGGAATCATCTTTCATCTAGATATTCCAGGATGTCCAAGGTAAGTTCCAACCTTCTTTGTTCTAATTTGGAACTTCGATGTTCCAATATGCAATTTTATTGTTCCAATATGGAACTTATGTGTTCCATTATAAAACTTCATAGTTCTAATATGGAACTTTATTGTTCTAAAGTGGAACTTCTATGTTCCAACATAGAACTGATATGTTCCAATGTGGAACGTATGTGTTCCATTATGAAACTTTATTGTTTCAACGGGGAACTTCTATGTTCCAACATGGAACTTCTGTTCCAATATAGAACTTTTCTGTTCCAATATAAAACTTTTCTGTTCCAATATAAAACTGATTGGTTCTTATATGATCTTCTATGTTCCAATATAGAACTGATATGTTCAAACATAGTGATATGTTACAATATGGAACTTTATTGTTCTAAAGTGGAACTTCTATGTTCTAACATGGAACCTTCATGTTCCAATATAGAACGTCTGTGTTCCAATATGTAATTTCATTGTTCCAATATGGAACTTATGTGTTCCATTATGGAACTAATGTGTTCTATTATAAAACTTCATTGTTTCAACGTGGAACTTCTATGTTCCAATATGGAACTTCTGTGTTCCAATATAGAACTTCTGTGTTCCAATATGTAATTTCATTGTTCCAATAGGGAACTTATGTGTTCCATTATAGAGCTTCATTGTTCTAATATGGAACTTTGTGGTTCTAAAGTGGAACATCTACGTTCCAATATAGAACTGATATGTTCCAATATGAAATTTGTATGTTCCAACATAGAACTGATATGTTCCAATATGGAACATACGTGTTCCATTATAAAACTTTACTGTTTCAACGGGGAACTTCTATGTTCCAACATTGAACTTCTGTTCCAATATAGAACTGATTGGTTCTTATATGATGTTCTATGTTCCATTATAGAACTGATACATTCTAATATGCAACTTATATGTTCCAACATAGAACTGATATGTTCCAATATGGAACTAATGTGTTCGTTTATAAAACTTCATTGTTTCAACGTGGAACTTCTATGTTCCAATATGGAACTTCTGTGTTCCAACATGGAACTTACATGTTCCATTATAGAACTTTATTGTTCCATTATAGAACTTTATTGTTCCAATATGGAACTTTATTGTTCCAACGTGGAATTATATGTTCCAATATGGAACTTTTATGTTTTAACCTGTTCCAATTGTTCTAGTGGTTACTTCGGACCTGGCGGCCTTCACGACAACCAAAAGTTCCAGAACTGTACAGGTGGCGCTCTAGGGCTTCTCGATAAAAAGATTCTAACCCCGGAACATCTTTACCAGTCCCCTGCCATCAATGACGTTTACCAATCTGGGCCGTTTGATCCCGAGGGCCTTATTGGCTGCCTGCCGACCATTTTCCAAACCTTCTTGGGCGTTCAAGCTGGAAAAATCCTTCGAGTTTATAAAGATTGGCGATCACGAGTTGCAAGATGGATGACTTTAGCACTAATTTACGCTCTTATTGGCTCAGTTTTGCATTTTAATAACATTATTCCGGTCAACAAAAATTTATGGTGACAATTTATTAATAATCAACGAAATTAATACTTACGAAAGACATTAATTGAGAAATTTATCAATTTTTAGGTCTATTTCATTTGTATTAGTGACGACAAGCTTTGCTCTGACTGTTTTCAGCATTTTTTACATATTAATTGACGTAATTAAACTTTGGGATGGATCTCCGTTCCGAGTTCCAGGTAATTGTAGTGTTCAATGTTGTTATTTATCGAAATAGGTACTGTAAAATGTAAAAGTAACATTTTATAATCTTAAAATATCATCGCGCAGGTTAAATTAGATAGGAACAACTCCTGCGCATGCGCAGTACGCCGGAACAACTCCTGCGCATACGCAGTACGCCGGAACAACTCCTGCGCATGCGTAGAAGGTCGGAACAATTTCTGCGCATGCGCAGAAATGGTTCCAGAGGATTGAACCTGCGCAAAGCATGTTTTATAGTATATTCTTTCTAAAGAGGTTATTAAGGTTAACTTTTGAATTTTAAGGTATGAATGCCCTTGTCATGTACGTCGGACATCACATTTGCTACCAGATATTCCCGTTCCATTGGAAGTACGGGAACATGAACTACCATGGCTGGAGAACAATAACCGCAATGTGGGATACTGGTCTTTGGGTTGTCGTTGCTTATATTTTACATTATAAAAAAATATATATAACTTTGTGATTATTCTGAGGTATTTTGTTGGGTAATAAAGAAAGATTAATTTTTTTTAATCAATTTATTTTTCATAAATATTAAGATGAAAGGTTGTGCCATAAATCTAGAGTCACCGACATCTTTTTCTTGAAACTCCTGACTCAGAAATTTTTTAGAGCCGTATGGGTATGCTAGTTGAAAAGCTGCGAAAATTTCCTAAAAAATGATACCTTGCACGACTCGATACCTCTCAGGTTAATTTTTTGATTAATTGATTAATAAAATATTAATCAATTAATTTGCCATTAATTATTCACTTAACATATTAATGTGGGTAGTCATTTTACTCGGGCTGACGATCTCTTGGTTGCACTCTGCGTAGAATTTTAAATTTCTCAAATTTTGTTTTTTTATTTCCAAATTTACAGTGTTGGATTTTATATTAGAGGTAATAAATTAATATAATTAAATTTTTTTTTAACAACTTTTATTTACGTCAGTTGTCATAAATAACATAGATTAATAGATTCAAATTCGTGGTAGATTAATTAGTCTGCTGGATAAATTCTAGAATATTGAGAAGGATACAAGACCAATGGATTAGAGAATCTATAGTCCCAATTTCTGTAAATAGGAGCATAGCTCATTATACAATTGGTTTCGTATTTATAGCCGCAAGGACGATTCTCATCGCGAAAGACGCACTGCTGATCCTTGCAAGTGTGCGTCCAGGTGCATTCGCTCTCACTTTTACAAGACTTTAATTAAATAAGAATATTTTGATTAATTATTAATCCAGTGTGGAGAGTAAATTATAAAAATAAAATTTTCTTACCAATGCAGCAGCCAGAGAACTGACGGCTAAAACGACCAGGGAAATTATCAACACTTTCATGATTGCGGTTATTCAAGACAGTCAAGACGATGATTTTTTTCTTCTGTTGAGTACTGACCACTGTCAACAAAACCCGGATTATTTATACCGAAAAATTTCGAAAGTTCAGGGAGTAGGGGTTATAATAATATCTCAACATCGGCTCGAAATTGATGCGTCAGCAATCACAAATTTTCAATTAACGTGACTCGAACATTATAATCTCAAAATAGTTCAATTTTCTGCTTTTAAAATTAGAAATTTAAGAAGTGGGATTTTGAAAATTTTAGAAAATTGAAAATCGACGCAGAGTGCGCCCTAGAGATCGTCAGCCCGAGTAAAATGACTACCCACATTAGTATGTTAAGCCAATGATTAATAGCAAATTAATTGATTAATATTTTATTAATCAATTAATCAAAAAATTGACCTGAAAGATATCCAGTCGAGCGAGGTATCATTTTTTAGGAAATTTTCTCAGCTTTTCAATTAGCCTACTCAAATTGATCCAAAAAATTCCTGAGACCCTTAAATCGGTCTTTGTTTGCTTAAAAAATAATTATTTTAAGTTTATTGGGAAAAAATTGAAAAATACTTTAACTATAAAAAGCTGGGCGTCAGTAATTAGATAAAAGTAAATTATTGAGTTTGTTATTTGTTAGAGTTAGATAAAAAATAAGTTAGAATTTTTTATGGACGTCGAAAACCTTGACCTATCGTTTTAGTTTAAAAGTTAGGGTGTGATTAATGTTCCACATACATTCGTCTATTACTACGCACACATTTATGATTAACTCACACTAACGGGCAAGTTTATGAACCTCCAAAACAAAATTCTTGGTGATCATAAATTTTATCCACTCAAAGTAATAAAATAACCTTGAAAAATAATATTTATTTTTAAGTAGCTGATAATGGCACGGTTATTATTAACTATAATTGCATCTGCTCAAGATTTCTTAAAAACTTTCCATGGATTTTCAGCTAAAAAACTTATGAATGATGAATTCATTACAAGGCAGAAAGAGAATTGGCAAGAATTGAACGGCTTAGAAATTTTTTAGAGCAATTCGAGTAGGCTCGTTGTAAAGCTGAAAAAATTTCCTAAAAAATGATACCTCGCACGACTCGATACCTCTCAGGTTAATTTTTTTGATTAATTGATTAATAAAATATTAATCAATTAATTTGCTATTAATTATTGACCTAATATATTAATGTGGGTAGTCATTTTACTCGGGCTGGCGATCTCTAGGTCGCACTCTGCGTCGATTTTCGAATTTTTTAAATTTCGATTAGTCGATTTTTGAAATTGTGGGCCGCGATTAAAAACATGGAACTAAATAAACATAATTAATCACTCTTTGACATTCGAAAAATTTGTATCGAAGAACAATTAATTGATATTAACTAGAAAATATTTAACATGAATTTTAATTTTTTTTGCACAATAAGAGCATTTTATTTGTGCAGGTTTCTATTTATTGATACAATAAAAAAGTGATTTGTATTTTGAAAATTTTAGAAAATTAAAAATCGGAGCAGAGTGCGACTTAGAGATCGTCCTCCCCAGTAAAATGAGTACCCACATTAATAAATTTAGTTAAGAATTAATAGGAAATTAATTGATTAATATTTTATTAATCAATTAATCAAAAAATTGACCTGAAAGGTATCAAGTCGTGCGAGGTATCATTTTTTAGGAAATTTTCTCAGCTTTTCATCTAGCCATCTCAAACAGCTTTAGAAAATTTGGGAGACCCTACATCTAGGTTCTAAATTCAGATTTGATGCATTTCTTGATAATTTTGGTCTTATCGTAAACAATCAGTTGAAAATAATTGTTTTTTATTTTTATTGTGTCTGTGATTGGATACAATTATATCTTAAAGTTTTATTCTTTCATCTTCGACAGCGAACAATTACTAAAATAAAGTAGAATTAACGATTAAAACCAAATAACAGTATAAGTCAACCAATTAGTTATTAATAGTAATAGAATTTATATACTACGCATTTTCCTTTAATCGATAATTTTTATGCCTATAAAATTATTTTATAGAACGTTAATTGCTTTTGTATTAATACACATCAGACATCCGTATAAGAATACTAGAAAAAGAAACTAATTATCTAAAATTCCTACCTCTAGATTGGATAATACGCCATCAATGTCGAAATAAAACACTATAATTCAGTTTTTCACAGTTTTGAACTTCGACCTCTGAAATAGGATTTTTAAAATTTGAGAAATTCAAAAATCGACGCAGAGTGCGACCTGGGGATCATCGTTACGAGTAAAATGAATACCCACATTGATATATTTAGTCAATAATTAATAGCAAATTAATTGATTAATATTTTATTAATCAATTAATCAAAAAATTGACCTGAGAGATATAAAGTCGTACAAGATATCATTTTTTAGGAAATTTTCTCAGCTTTTTAATGAGCCAACTTAAATTGCTCTGAAAAATTCTTGAGTCCCTCAAATCAGGTTTTTTCTCCGTTAACTTATAATTTCTTCTTATAATTTTAAAGCTTTCGAGTCATCAATTTTTTTAAAAATAAAAATAACCCGCTCCCACTTTTCGATATCGATCTTTTGTATAAAAAGCTGACTTTGACTGACAATAATCAGTCTTAGTTACAACAATAAAACACAGCCATGATTAAAGCGTTGATTTCATTGATCCTATTTGTCATTGCAGTAGTAGCATTCGTTGAAGAAGAAGTATAAGTTTCATTATTTAAAAAATTAATTAATAAAACGTAAATAATATTAAATTTCAGTGCCAAAGCGATGCTGATTGTTTCTTTTCGAGGTGTTTGGAAGGAAAGTGTCATCTTGATCGCGGAGCTATCTAATTTAACTAAAAAAAAACATGTCGGTAATTCTGGATAAAAAAAAATTTTCTGGATAATAAAAAATAATTAATAAAAAAAGTGATATCTTTTATGATTACCAAACAAAATATTTTAGAGCAATAAAAAACTTTTATATACTTGTCAGAGTTTTTCTAGAAAAATTTAATAACTTTTCGTGAGGATCGAAGCTATAAACAGAGCTCAACTCGACCTCCAGTTATCTAACAACGTAAAAATTATAGCTTCAGTTGAACATCGAAAAAAAATTTTTATTTTATAACAATAAATAAATTTGTAAGTATTTAAAAAAATTTTAGAAATTTAAAATTCTACTCAGAGTGCGACCCAGAGATCGTCAGTCCGAGTAAAATGACTACCTACATCAATATATTAAGTCAATAATTAATAGCAAATTAATTGATTAATATTTTATTAATCAATTAATCAAAAAATTGACCTAAGAGGTATTGAGTCGTGCGACATATAATTTTTTAGGAAATTTTCTCAGCTTTTTAATGAACCAACTAAAATTGCACTAAAAAATTCCTGAGTCCCTAGAATCGGGCTTTTTTTGTATAAATCTTAAAATAAAAAACTAGTCTTTGTAATTTTAAGACAGAATATTTTTATTTGTGCTTACACACTTGTCTTTATTAATGATTGGTTAATGATTTATTAACTATCTTTTCCTTTTCGTAATATGTATTCTTGACGGGTATACTCGAACTAGATGAACCCTCTCTCATTTCTACTCTGTAAAAAGGTGCGTTAGGTAAACGATGATATGTGGCTCCGATCCGGATGCCAACAGTGACCGAGTTATTTCCAACTTCTGGAGATAAGTCATAAATCGTCGGAATTATAATCTCCGGGCATTGAATTTTTGATGGTACTTCCGTTTGAGGTACTTCGGATGACGACGGGCAAGCATAAGCTAGTCCATTGGAACCGCCTCCGCAAATCCCTGACGAAGAAACGATAAAAAGAATGAATTAATTATAATAACGATTAATTGAAATATTACTAGCAACTTACATGAGGAACCAAGGACGGCCACAAGAAGAAGAAGCAAGCTTTTGCTAGAGAACATTATTCTTCAACGATTTTACTGCTATTGCAGTTCGTATTAGCAGCGATCCACATTGTAACGGCACGTGGCTTTCGGATGACTTCCAAATGACTGCATTTGGCCATGAATAATATTGATACCATTTTTTATTAGCCTATATTTTTTTTACTATTTTTTTTTCCTCTTCGTCAATTCCTAATCGCTGATTTTTAACTTCCCGCTAAAAATCTCAGATTTTCAAAAATCGGGAAGTTATTGGTTTTACCCCGTTTTGCAAAAATCGAGTTTTCATCAGATCTCGACGTTTGAAGGTCACAGGAAGCTTCCCTGACTATCCCCGCGAGGTTGTCACGGTGTCTGTATGTGTGTGTGTGTGTGTGTGTGTGTGTGTGTGTGTGTGTGAAAGTATGTGAACCACTTATAACTTTTAAACGGCTTGACCGATTTAATCGCGGTTGGCGCCATTCGAAAGGGCATGACCAAACTTAGATTTCCTGAAAATTTGAACCGATTCGGACCAGTAGATTTTGAGAAATTTCAAAAAAACTACAAAAAAAATTTTTTGAAAAGTGGTTTTTTTGGAATAACTTTTAAACGGCTGTACCGATCAATTCCAAAAACTAATCAGCTCTCAACCTCAAAAAACCACGTCGATCGCCACCAATCCGGTCAAAATCGGTTGATTCGTTCGAGAGATAGCGTGAACGAAAGGAAACCGAAAAAAACCGAAAAAAGTTTTTTTTTCACATAACTTCGATATTTCTTTTCGGATCGTT